TTCTCTCCCGGTCTGGTCCAGGAGGGGACCAGGGCAGCAACAGCTGCTCCCTGACTTTTCCCCAAGCCAGGGACTGCCAGGTTGGGACAGGGTTGGGCGGGAAGCAGAGCAGCACTCACAGTTTCTCCTTCTTCCCCAAGTTGGCCAGTCCCTCAGGAATCGCAAAGCCCCAGGGACTGGGAATTGGGCTCTGGGAGGCTATCCTCCCCAGCTGAACAGCAGAGGCAGGGATTGCAAAGCCTGGGGATTCCCGCCCCAGTTCATGGCCCTGCAGACTTTAAATGCTTTAAATGCTGCGTGTACATGGAACACATGTACATGTCAACTTCAGGCCTATTATTCTATCAGTAAGAATTTTGATCCTGGGGCTTAGTGTAATGAGCAGCCTGATTAGGTCACTTTGCTCAGAATGGGAGCCAACTCAGAGCATCTGACAAAGGTAGCTGACACCTATGAAAGTTTCTGCCTCTTTGAATGAGTTAGTCTCTAACGTGCCACCCTGCCCTGCTATCTGACAGACTTCACACAAATATGGCTAAATAACCTCCACTCTGTAGCAACAGAATGAGAAAAAATGCAAAAAGGAAAAAAATTACTCTCACCTTTAAACTGAGTCTACACAAACAATTATATACTAAATAATTGTATAGTTATTTCATGGTGTAACTAAACAGCAGAATTAAAATTATTTAGGAGACTTTACTGTACGTTTATATCTTAAATATGTTTGGTTTTCTTTCAACTTTGCCCTTTACTCTGAATTGCCTGGATTTGTAGAGCTTACCTATGAAAATAATTACAAAATCCTTATAATGTTTTTAACCTGAAATAAACTGCAGGCCAACATGCATTGTAATAAAACTGATTTATTTCCAAATAAAACTTATTAGAAAGGAGCGTGGGTTGAATCACTCTATAACAGGGCAGCTCAAGCTCCAGTCCATAGGTCAAATGAGACCCACAGAGCCATCACATCTGGCCTGCAGGGCTCCTCACAGGTCCAGAAATTTGGCAATAGGGGAGCAGTGGCCATTGATATGGACACCCTCCCCTTTACCAAATACCCAAACCCCATTCCCTGTATGGCTGGTTGGAACCAAGCTATGCCCCCTTAACCCACAGGGCCAGGCCAGGCACCCCTGCTTCTGGATCAGGGCCAGACCATGCCTCTTTTCCCTCCCATTAGGGCTGTGCCACAACCCCTTTCCCCGTCAGGCTGGGTTGGGACCTAGCTATGACCTTTTCTCCTGTTGGAGCCACAGCAGCAGCTGCCTACCCCAGACCATACACAAACCCAAAATGAGGTTTCCTTCCCACCCCCTCCCTCATCCCCAATGTTGAAAGGGGGGAAAAACCTTGTCTTGGATCTGGGTAATCATCATACTCTGTACAACACTTAACAGAGGCATAATTAGCAATTTTTGCACCTTAGGCAGAGATTCTGGAGAGTGGGGGGAAGCTCTCTGGGGCCACCATTTTGGCATTCCCTCTAAATCAATATTCAATTTTTATTTTTAAAGCAACCTGAGGAAAAAAAAAAATCAGAAACTCCATCATGTGGCATTATACTGAAATGCTCATGGCTCATCACTAGTGTTGGGACCTCTGGGTTCACTGCGCAGATCTCTGCCACTTGTGCTAACAAAGCAACCAGAAGCCGTAATGGGCTGTCAGCTTTCATGTGGCCAGCCACTAAAGGGAGCTGAACTACCCACTTTACCCATAGATTTCAGACACCAAAAAAGACAGTTGAGAATAGAGAACCCTGGATTTATTTCCTAGTTCTGGAGGATAGTTTCGATCAAAACTGATCTGCCCCAAGCCCCCCCACCCCCACCTTTCCCTCCAGCTTGACCTCTGCTACCCCACCTACCTGTCTCTTTTACGTGTCAACTCCTTATTGAAATCCCAGACTCCTTAGCCAATCTCCAGATGAGCCCTCCTAAGTGATAATCACTCCCCCACCCTCCCCCAGGCTCTTCAGCCATGGTTTCAAGTAAGTCTTCCTGCCCTAATTCTACTCTTCCCTGCCACCTCCCCACCATTTGTCATTCTCCCACCCCCAAAAGGTTCCCATATCCCAAATCTTCCCTGGACTCTGTCTCCACTTCATCTGGTGCCTGCCAGTCATTCCTCCTTCCTAACTCCCTACTATCCTGCACAGACTCCATGACAGTCTTATCTCTCCATTTCCACTTCCACCCATGCATCCTCAGTTCCACAGCTCTCTATTTCACTCAGGCTACTTTCTATTTCCTCTTTGATGTCTGGGCTCAGAAAGGGCACTGGCAACCTCAAGGGAGGTTGGTTCCCTGGTCTCAGTTCCTGTACCCAATGCCACAGCAGCCTCTACTTACTGAGAGAAACAGCAGCAAATAAGGCCTTTGGTCAGCCCTAACACAAGGCTGGGGCATGCACAATGCATACAAATTTGCCAACTCTGCACATGCATTTGATCAAATTTCACAGGCAAAAGAAAATACAGATACCTGACACCCAGGCAAGCCCCCAGCCAAATCTCAAGTTCCTGTTCTAAACCACAAAGGAGCTAGGTTCCTAAACAAAACAGCTGTAAGAATATTTTCAAAACATATTTTTCTTGAAAAATCACTCTCAGAAAAAGCTAAAACTGTTTCCACCAAAAACTTAAATCTTGCCCTGAAGCAGACAATCAGCATGGAAAAATTCAGCCCTGCTGGATGAAGTTTGACAAAGTTATAAGGGTCTTGTAAATAAAAGCATCAAACAATTTTATCTCCAGGTGGTGCTACCCATTCCATCTATAAAAAGAACTTCTAACTGCTATTTGTATAAAGGAGGATGGCTACTCTTAATATAAAGGAAAAGGGAACCACACAATAAAACACAGATTTCATAGAAATTAGGGCTGGAAGGGACCTCGGAAGATCGAGTCCAGCCCATCGAAGTCAGCAGGGGTCATAGGATCCCAGCAAGATAAACATCCAAATGTCTCTTGAAGGTGTTCAAAGTAGGTGCTTGAACCACCTCCAGCAGCAGTCTATTCCAAAACTTGGGGGCTCAGACAGTAAAGAAGTTCTTCCTTATGTCCAATGTGAAACGGTCCTGGAGGAGTTTGTGACCGTTCAATCTTGTCATCTCTTGGGGTGCTCTGGTGAACAGACATTCCCTCAAATCCTGGTGAGCACCCCTGATAAACTTATAGGTGGCCATCAGACCACCCCTGAGCCTGCGCTTTTCCAGGCTGAAGAGTCCCATAGCTCTCAGCCTTTCATCATAAGGTCTGTTTTCCTGACCTCTGATCATATGCATGGCTCTCCTGTGGACTCTCTCAAGCTTCTCCACATCCTTTTTAAATTGTGGAGCCCAAAACTGGATGCAGTACTCCAGCTGCGGCCTCACCAAGGCCAAGTACAATGGAAGAATGAGATTTGCTTGAGAAGCATCTATGGATGCAAGCCAGTGTTTTGCTCGCTTTACCAGCTGCAGCATCACATTGAAGGCTCATGTCCATCTTGTGGCCAATCATGACGCCCAAGTCCCTTTCGTCCATAGTGCTAGCCAGTGTAGCACTGCCGAGCCTATAAGCATGCTGTGCTGAGCCTATAAACATGAGAGCTCTTGTATCTAAGTAGGGTGACCATATGTCTCAGTTTGACTGGAACAGTCCCAGATTTTGAAGGCTGGTCCCAGCCAGCTGGTGAAAATTAAAATGAGTGCCCCAGGCATAGGCATGAAGGTGGAGCAGTATGACCTGTGAAATAGGAAGCTTTAGCAGATCGCAATATTGCCATAGATAGATTAGGCTTGATTAGTGGAATGAACATTAATACTAATTGTTACTTAAACAGGTGACTGTTAACACTTAAGAAGTAAAGAACAACGGGGTCATTAACTGGCCTTTGACTCCCTGGATGGGGGAGTAAGGGGGGCCTTGGGCGGAGTTACAGATTTCATATTGTGCTATATAGTCACCCTACATCTAAACCTTTATTTTGCTGTTGTACAAACAAAAGAATAGCTGGCACTGTCCTGACAGCAGTCTTAAAATAAAGATAACTGGACATTTTATTGTTATTCCTACAGGGATTATTCTAGGAGTGGAAAAAGATTCCGATTTTCTATATAAGGCACCTCTATACTCATCTATGCTACTCTGTCCATCTCACACATGCCAGGATAAGCCTATATAATGTTGACGTTCTCATTTACAACCTGGGAACTGAGATGCACATAATAAACCTCAGCAGTAACAAACAGGTCACATTAACTTTTCTTTTTTTATTAACTGTGCAACAGAGACTATCATTTGCACTAGATTTTATAAATGCTCATGCTGGCATAAAAATGGGAAAGGCACATTCATTTCCCCATATCCTGTCTTAACTACTTATTTGTTTTAATGGCCTCTGCAGTTTTTATATCAAGCATAATACCATAATTCTAAATTCCCTGAAAGATTTTAACAAGCTCTTTTTTCTGTAATGATTAATTGGATATCATTTTGTTTCTTTCCCAAAACCACACAAATTTACATGTTACAGCTCCAGTTTAGCAAAGTTCACTGCACAAGATCAGCCACATCAGCATAATATTCCAGGAAGTTGGAAACAATTAAGAGATATGCTGTGTTGTTATTACTCTGACGAGGAGGTGGAGATTGCTCCCTATGCTAGAATCCCATAATTGTTGTTCAGACAGACACACCACAATTCTAGAGCACTGTAGCCTGATTAACACAACCACTGGGTGAGTGGAGGAGGGCAAAGGGGGAATGTCAGCTTCAATTTACTCCAGTGATCTTCTGAGGGAGCTTTTCAGCAAAGAGAGCATTTTATTAGATGTATTTACACATTCTATTCACGTTAATTGTCCCTCACAGCAACTTTAGTTAATTATGGTACATTAAAAACATTACATAGCTTGTAGCTAGTATTTTCTAATTAAAATAAGCAAATGTGACTCAGAGAGGAAAGCAGTACATTATTTCTGAAAAGGGAAGAAAAGCCAAGAACACTTACCTCATGAATGAGAGCTATTAACATTTGCTGGAAATTGCGCCCCCTACTGACCAAAAATCGATTAATTGGTTTGCCATCTTTGCCCATATGGACTGGAAGATCATAACATAACAACATGCCAGCTTAAAAAGAGAAAAAAAAGTAAGTGCATCAATAGAAAATACTGCTGAATACAGCAAAAATGTGAGGTACACAGTGCAATAAAATGCTTAAGAAAATGCCTCTAAAGCCAATTAAAAATCTAACAGATATAAAAGCTTGTCTACAAAGAGTGACACTGAGAAGTGGGACAGGGGCTCTGAAATCACTTCATGATTCAAAGCTCCCAGACTACTGGTATTAAGAGCCTTATGAAGATAACGAGCTTACGGTTTTTGAAAGAAGCAGAGAAAATAGTGAAGGGAGCATTAGAGGTAACAGTACATGACTGTTGCTTAAACTGATCCTTTTCTAAAATTCAAAAAAAGTTTCTTCTGGGCAATAGTTAAGCATATTGCTTAACTCTAACATACCCATGTGCTTAAGTGCTACCATGAAACGGGTTAGACTTAGGTATGTGTCTAAGAACTTTCCTGAATCACAGACATTAACAGATTTTAAACATTTAGTGTACAGCACCCAGACTTTTTGAAACATTAATCAAGGAAGTGACTTACCCATTAACAATGAAAGCTCACCTGCCAGGCCAGGCTTCAGACCTGGTTGCTTGTTCCTCTCATACATTTTCAACAAGAAGTTTGGAACTCCTGCTACAGTCTTCCCTTGATCTGAGTGTGTGGCCCCTCTTCTCAGTGCAGAATGATAAACACCACGGGGCATGTTGGCCATTTCTTGTTTCACAAGTGATGCTGCAAACTCTTCAAATGCTGGAGGAAGTAGGGGGAAAGACAAAGGTCAGTGGCTGAAAAGAAAGACAGACCAAAAAAAAATTCCAACAAACCCAAAACCACAGCTGTGCTTCAGGGCAGTTATGCTTTCCAGCAAGTACATATTCAGATGAAAGCTCCAAGGTCAGGGATTTAGAACTCCTGAAGTCTTCCTGACTCCATGTTCACCTCCACTCAAACTTCAGCTCAGGAAGCTCTGAATAAGTGATGTCAGATGCTCAGACTCAAAAGAAAAATAGCCTGAACTGTTCTCCAAGCTGTCGATCAATGTACTCTTTGTTTGATTGTTATGCCATTGATGTTTGCTCAAAGTGAAAAAAGGGACAATCAGAAATTAAATTTACATTAACCAATGAATAAAAAGTTTCTCTCAAATGATATTTTTCTGCAGAACTTTCCAGCATTAGAAAAATACAAAGCCAGTACTCTAATTTCTGTGAACACAGTTCTGGTACTGTTTATAAAGCTGTATGCTTTCAAGCCAAGTCTTTTATATTCTAGCCAAGTTCAACATTATAAAGAATTAATGTAAAGTTATTGCTTGGCTGTGAAATAAGCTTAAGTAGCCTTTATTGTTGGAGCTGGGGGAGGGGACGGGCCTGGGGTGGAAGTGTGTGCGCACACAAATATGCATGTGCAGTGTTACTGCATCCCAACATGAAGCAAACTTCATACAAGCACCTGACAACACTGATAGATTTAAGAGTCTGTTTTCATTTTATAACCATGTTTTAAAGGGATTTATAACAACTGTTTTACATTAGGCTTGAAACTTTGGCATGCAAGTTTCCAAACCAGATGCAATGCTGTTTTGCCTAGGAATCAGAGCCCATCTAAGATGAAAGAGCACTCAATCTTGATTACAAGACCCTTGCTATACTTGCTACTTTAGTAGCATATTTGCTACTTTAACATCTCAGTACTTGCTGTTGGGGTTTAAATCAGGTTTTATAGCCTAATCATTACTGTAATGCCTACTTGTGTACTTCCTCACATTTTAAGTTTGCTTATTAATTATAATTAAAAGAGAGATTTTGAAGATACTATGATTCTGCTACTTCTAGTCATAATGGTAAACAAATCTAACCTACAGATATAGATAAGGCATAAATCACACTGGAAATCAAGCTAACTTCATGAAAGAAGATCTGGTTCTGAAAAAAATTATAATACATCATAAAGTTTTAGACCAGTAAGGAAACAAAAAATCCCAGAGGCAACCACTGTTGACATTTACCATGAATCAAAATATTGGCGTGCACACAGTATGCCACAATAAAACAAAGGATTTAACTGTTGTCCTTTAGAACTGTTATATAGGAAGAACCTTTAATAAAAATAAGATAGTATGTTACCAGCTTATGTACAGTGCCCAACAAATGCCAATCCAGAGACAAATGGATTTATTGAAACCCCTGATGCTTATGTGTGCAGACAATTATTATCCCTTCATTCCCCTTCCTGGCTCTGTTCCTTTGAACCACTGAACAAATAATATGCTCTTTCAAAGGGCCCAGACAAGGGAAGATTTCTCAGTTCCAGTTTCCCATGGTCCATACAATAAGAGTAAATGGGAACTACAGTCAGCTTGTCTCGCAGAAAGTCTTTGCTTTGTTTTGGTTCATATTTAACTTTCATTTTTAATTTCATTTTTGATTCTTAGCTATGTAGCTGAGTTGGCCCTTGCAAGCTGGTTTGAGAGTCAAGACCATTTTCTCCTGAAAGGCAAGGAAAGACAAACCCTCACTCAAAAGTAATTCCTATATAGAAGCTATTCTGATAGGTGCTTTAGATTTTATATCTTGTTACCATAGCAATAAGAGCTTCTCTCTTCAGAAAATAATATACAGAGCAGCGGTTCTCAACCTTTTTAGACATGAGGCACCCTGGATAGACTTTAGGCACCCCTCAGAAAATGCCAGCTCTTAGTTTTCACTCATTTTTTTTTCACTAGAAAAATAGAACATTTTTTCTGTTGCAAAGAACTCAGAAAAACCATAACTATGGATTTCTATTTGAAAATTCTAGATTTATCCTGTAAATCGTGGGCACATCTACACAAGACGTTTACCACAGAGCTGACTAATTAGTACCACAGCAAAACATCACCATCTAGATGCCCGAACCTATTAGGTTGCAGTAGATTAATAAATGCCACTGCAAGGTAGTACGTCTAAACACAAGTAGTACCCTGTGGTGGCATTGCTTTAGTTGTCTGAGTACATATGTAGATGGTAATGAGGCTGGCTGGGGCATGAGGTTGCTTCAGTGCAGAGGCTGCCTGAGAGCTAGCCTGTCACTGAAGCACCCTGATGCCCCAGCACGCAGGCCCCATGATGAAGCACTTCCATGACTCAGCCAGTGCCCGCCCTTCCCCAGCATATAGAGACTGGTCAGAGCAGCCCTGGGCTTGCAGAAAACCTGAGGGGGTCAGCTTGCCACCCCAGGGCTGCTCCGACCGGGCTCCATGTGCAGCAGGGGGGGCTGGTTCTGGCACAAGGGTACAGCCCCACCTGCTGAAGCACCCTTGTGCCTCAGCCAGCCTGCTCCCTGCACAAATAAACTCTCAGGCTAGGGATAGACATTCAAAAAGCCTGAGCCTGAATTGATTCAATCTTTGCAGGTTAGTCTAACCTGGCTAGGCTAAATCACTTTGTAACTGCACAGATATCCCCTCTGAACTGAAAAAATGCCAGCACATGCCTCCAGTGGCTCAGGCTAGAAACTGAGGGTGCAAGAAACTGGGGGTGCTAGAGCAGCCCTCCCTTCCCTTCCACAGCGCAGAGCTGAGGGGGGCATGGCAGGCCCTGGCAGGACACTGTGATTAGGGAGGGCTCCCCTCCCTTGATAACAGAGCATTTATCATCTCTGTTATCAGCATTTAGCACCCTATCAGAAAACAAAGCCTCACACATTAGTTCAAGCTCTTCCTAAACAGCTTTTTCCAAAGGAAGGAATGCAGGGACAACCATGTGAGCTGCTCATTAGCTCCAAAAAGCCCTAAGCAGACACTGTCCTATTTGCCTTACACAGCATTAGCTAGCATACCACATTCTGACTATGGTTCGCGCTGTGGGAGAGAGGAGGAAGGGATCTCTGCTTAAACAGTGAGGGGTGAGGGGTGGCAAGGGGGGCATGGGGAAGCTAGTAGACCTTGCTGTGCTTGCAAGTCTCTGCCGGAGCTCCAGCCAGGGAGCACAGGGAGGAGGCCAGCCCTGCTGTGGAGCAGAGAGCCCCACCCAGCCCAGACAGCATGCTGGAATGCTTGGGGAATCAGATTTAAATTAAACCAGCAAAGGGTCTAGACAGATACTGCATAAACCAGTTTGAGCCAAATCAGTTAAGTCTGATACTACATTCAACCAGGTTTATCTCAAACTGGTTTCAGCCATTTTCAAACTGGTTTACGTGCACTGAACGTCTGTTCTGTTACAGGTTTAAACCAGTTTCCGATCACTTAAACTGGTTGGTGTGTAACATCTGTCCCTAGCCTAACACAATATGCTCCAGAGTTTTTTTGCTCCCAGGTGTATGTTCAAACGGTGCATCCAGAAGCAAAAAACTCCAGAGCAAAAAGCTCCCGATTTTATTCAAACTATTTATTTTATTCATAATTGCATGTGTAGACGTGCCCATGTTTGCATACCTAGGGCCCCTCTACACAATACAGATATTATGCAATTAACTGGTTAATTGCGCAATTACCAACTACATGTGCAAAGGAGCCATCACACAATAAAAAGCTACAACCAGCTATAAAGTTAGACTTCAAAACTGTGTACTAACTTTAGCTGGTTGCTAGTGAGCTTTCATTTGCAGATATAGCAGGGCCTCCCCTGCAGCTAGTGGCCCCATTGGATGCCATGATCCCCAAGGCTCAGACATGCATGAAACTCCTGGCTCACTCTCTGTACAAGCAGCCAGGCTGAGAGTCCTGCAACTGATGCATCACCATCACCATGAGGCACAACCAGGACTGGGAGCCTCGTCAGTTATGGAGACTCTCAGTCCCGGCTGCACCTGGCCCCCACAGCTGTGAACCCCCTCAGCAAAGTGGGCTCTCAGCTATGGGGGCTCACTTTTTGCCAACGCATAGATTCATAGATGTTAGGGTCAGAAGGGACCTCAATACATCATCGAGTCCGACCCCCTGCATAGGCAGGGAAGAGTGCTGGGTCTAGATGACCCCAGCTAGATGCATATCCAACCTCCTCTTGAAGACCCCCAGGGTAGGGGAGAGCACCACCTCCCTTGGGAGCCCGTTCCAGACCTTGGCCAATCTAACTGTGAAGAAGTTCTTCCTAATGTCCAGTCTAAATCTGCTCTCTGCTAGCTTGTGGCCATTATTTCTTGTAAATGCAGGTGGAACCTACTATTTGTCTCCCCCTGTACCAGCAATAAGGTATAATTGGATCTAATGTACGATCCCATAATTGTGCCTATTGTCATGCACATGTGGCATAGGAGGAGGCGCAATTGTGTGGATCATGCATGAAATCTAATTGTGTCTTTACCTGCATGTGTAGAGGGAGCCTAACAGTGCCATGGCCCCCTGGTTAAAAATCAATGATATGGAAGCTAGGATAATCCTAAAAACTGTTTTTTGGGGGGGGCC